CATCAGCTCTACACTTCAGAAGCTGTACCAAATTACTTTCACCCTCAACGTGTCCACGAAATGCCAAACCTTGTTTAGCAAGTAATTGTATGGATGACAAAACTTTTAGGAGCAAAAAACGTCGCTGGCTTTGGTCAAAACTGAGTTGCATTGATAATTGAGTATCAATGGATGGTTGTGCAGCTGCTGACAGTTTCATCACTGCTTTGTTATGTAGCTGACTTACTTCATGGTGTCTGAATCTCTCCTTCGCTTTTTTCCAGGTGTCAAACCATGTATTACAAATTGAAAAGCTCTTGCCTGATGTATGTGATGAAACTAACTTCTTAGAGGCAGCTGAACAACAAGTAAAGCAAACAACTTTATTACGACTGAGGCAGTAAGTTATCCACGGGTGATCATGACTCCACTATCTTTGAAAATGACAGTTTCCTCTTGATTTTTTCAAAATTCTGGTAGAAAATGTTGGGAGGTAAGGGTTATCGCGTCCAGGTTTACAGCACTCGTTATCACAGAGTTATTTTTGAGGACATGATCTTCATCTTGAACTGTCTGCAAGACACATGCAGCTGCAGCATTAGATACACTAGATCTACGAGTAGCATTGTCATCATCAGTCTCTGATTCGGAGTTGCTGCCAGAAGATATATGACTTTCATCCTCGGCACTTGGTCGTTTTGATGAAGAAGACTGGCCAGGACTGAAGAAAGATACTATCTTCTTTTGCATATTGCAAAGAGGGTTAAAGTAATTATTAACAATAATAATGAATAATTTAAAATAATTATAAAAAATTAAAGTACTAAAATATTTCGACTTGAGGATCCTGTCATCCTAGTAATCGTACACTGGTGCATTTATCAGAACTCAGGATTAACGCCTCCTTGAAGAACTTGAAACTTATGACAAAATTTCACAAAAGTCAGTGTAAAATAAAAAAACGCCCTTTTTGGCACACAAATAAATGGGCGTGGCCAAAAAATCGGCGCGCTTCGCGCTGTTTTTTTTCCTTCGCTTCCATTGCCCCCCTCCTCTGATTCATCTTCCACCGCCACTGTGTACAGTATATCATTCCGGTTTGTTAGGAAGGAGGGTTCATATACAGGTCGCTTGACACTTACTTTACATAAGATAGAAAGGCACATTTGTTCATGATTTACGTGCACGAAGGTGTCAGTAGTACTTCTGTCAACAGCTACTATAATAATTATAATTTAAATTTCAGAATAATTTTTTGTTATTGGGCAACCTGCATCAATGTACTTAGTACAATATACTTGTTTGTCATTAAGTTATCGGTTGTTCAGTTTTGAAATTTTTTATATATTTTATTTCAAACTATATAAAAATTAAGCTCCAGGTATATTCTGATGAGGAGTTAAATGGTACTAGCTGCATGGTGGGTTTGCGTTTTTACAATGAAAAAGGGTTCTGGCACCTCCTGAAGTTCAAAAATTTGGGATTAATGTCATAGAATATAGACTCAAGATCAACTGCATTGTCATATTTACTGGTAGCCATAACTGTTTTTAGCAACAGGCATCGCTAAATGGAAAGGCCTAGTTATAAAAGGCAACTCACTGCCAAATGGCAGTGGGCATGTCATAGTGGCATGCAATACGACTGATAAATTAAACTCACAATGTCATATGTAAAATTTGAAGCATTTTTACAGTTGAAATTATTGTCAGTACATGAGGCAATTGATTACTTTATACTATCTAATAAATTTGTGGTGGCCTATTTGACATAGAACTTATAACATATTCATCTGTACCAAAAATTCAAAATATACAATTTATGGTAGTCATGCTCTTTGATATACAGGGTCCTGAGGTCATTGCGGTGCTATAAAGACAGTAGGACATAGGACCAAGGCATTGTTTTTTGTCAGAAAGCCTTGTTAAACCAATGATTAATTTTTGGAATTATATAATTTTAGTTGCACTGCATGTTAACAAAGGCATTTAATGGTCCTTTTCCATTGTATTCCTTCCCTATAGCTATTTGCAATGAACCTTTTCCACTCTTCAATTGGCCAACTACAAATGTCCATATTCATTATCAGCAAAGTGACCTTGATAATTTTTAATATCCGCTACAAATAGCCACTCACTGCATGCTACATGGCAGTTGTTGCATCAAGTTTGTAGATGTCCTATTGGTTTACTTGCTTTATCTTTCCATTGCCTTTCTAATAAAGGTCATCATGTTAAAGTCGTTGAGTGAATCTGCTATAGAAAATTAATGTTAAGTTAACTGTTATAGTGAATGGGAAAACAAGTCGTCAGGGAATGGTCCCAGCCTGAATTTCTAAGAGTTATAGAATAGGGCATTATTATTGTTAATTTAATATTTTGCTAAAGAAGCAAAATAGTTTGGAAAATGCCACTGAATATAATGGTCAGAAAATTCTTAAACTCAATTTAGCTATCTTGATTTTAGATGAACAGACTGAAGCCACATTAAAGAATGACTGCATGGTGTGTTATCAAATGGGCCATTACCATCATGGATCAGTGGGTGAAGGACAAGTTTGCAAAAAGCAGGTTGCATTCTTTCGTATGTTATGTATTGCAAGCCTAATGCTTTGTATCTGACCACTTTGAGAGAGCTCATCATTAATGAACAAAAAGTTGTGCCTATCCTGCATGCCATACTATATACAGTGTAAGGGTAACACCCTATGTGTTAAAAATAAAGACTATGCTTGGGTCTTAAATCTATTGACATATTTTTAGGTGCCTGTAACACTTCCATGGCATTAGTTTTCCAACGGTATTATAGGACACTCAGCCCTGCTGTAGCATCATCATCTGTGTCATGTTTTCTTGGACCTAATAATTGTCATCATCAGGTTGCAGTCATTTAATTTCATTTAATTTGATTTAGTTCAAGGTGTGTGAGGCTCTAATGCTTTACTTTTATTGATAACAGTAGTGGCACACCATGGGATGATAAGGTGATGAAGTCTCTAGTATCTAGAATAGCTATGATCACAGAGCACAGTATTATGTATGCCATTATCGTGTCAACAAGGCTTTTCTTTTTTCTCACAAATCCTTCTGAAAGCAAATCTAGACGGGGGATTAAGTGAGGATGAGTCTGTTGCCTGTGACAGCACTTGAGGCCTTCATTCATAAGAGTTCTTCATTATACATTGCATTCTAATGTTCTATGTATAGAATTCCAGGATTTTTTTTAATTTGGTACCTGTATTTTATCTTGATTGGCCAATAAAGAGTTGACTCTGTTTGCCATGTTGACATGTTCTTACAAAATTATAACTGTGTAATTCTTGACTTTGGGCAGAATGACTGCATAGTACTACAATTTAAGTATTCAGAAAGAAGACAAAAAATTATCTCTTGTTTTGATAAGATAGAGGACTTTCAATTTTTGCGTGGATTTGTAAAATGTGATGGCATTCTTAAGTAATTTTGACAATAGATCAATGCCTATATTTAGCAAACGAGCTTAACTAATTAAAAAAAGCTAATTTATTTTGATAAGGAATAGGTGGCTCACTGTCTGCTTGTGAAGGTGTTATAACTGTCTTGTTTTTGATTTCGTGCTGTAGCTTGAGCCTCTCTTGACATGGGGCCTGATACCTTATGTAAAGAATACTTGCAATATGCACAGAACCTTATGTAAAGAATACTTGCAATATGCACAGAACCTGAAATCTATAGTATTGGTTTTCCAAAGCCCATGCCACGTGCCTCTTGACTGTGTCTCCGTCCTTTTAGAAGCTAAAACTAAATTTGATCAGTGAATTCATTGTATTTATGTCTTGGAACTGATCAAATAGTTCCCTTCAGTCCTGGAGCAGTTTTTATGTGGGAAACAAAGGAACTATATTGAAAATACTTTAGTACCCAGAAGAAATATTACCCAGACCTGGAGTATGCACTAAAGATGAGCTCCAGCAATACGACTGATGAAATAAAGTCACCATGTCATGTATAGTTTCAAGCATTTTTAAGTTTGAAATTAATGTCATGCATTTGGATCAGTTCTTCTAGAGTAGTCTCTTTGTGTTTTCATTAGAGGGGTGTTACAACTGGTTCAGTATCATGTTCTAAAAAATTGTGATTTAATTAACTGTATTTTATGCCTTGGAATTGATCTAAAAGTTGCCTTGTTTTGTTTGCTGGCTACAGGTACGGAGTGACATATAAAGCAATCTAATATTTGTGCTTTTCCTTTATGATTTTTATAAAGTACATGTGCATGGAAACACTTCTAGTACAACACTGTCTCCTGTACTGATTTATTGCCAGGGGCAGATGGAAAACCTCCAGAAGCTTTCCCTCTTTGGCACCATTATATTTTCTTTGGCATATAAAGAAGAAGTTAGTTTCACTTAAAGGTCATGTACAGTATGTCTTAAACGAGAAGGTGCGGTATAAAAGGCGGGGCCCTGGGCATGGTGGCTTCCGTTTTATTCACGTGTAAAAATGTCGGCTCTAGATGGTGTTGCTTCTTCAAGGAAAAACGCAGGAAGAAAGGGGTTTTGGTACCAAATGGACTTCCATTTTACTCTCAAAGAAGACAAGGACCAGTTCTAGTTAGGCTTGATCGAGTTAAGGGGTCTTTAGGCACTAAAAGAAGGCGCTGGAACTGCTGTCTCATTTACTCGCCGATTTAGTTTAAAAAGAGAATCATTCTGAGGCTCTATCACATGATACTAGTAGTTCTTCTGCTATGCTCAATACTTCAGGTAGTTATAATGTGTTTAAATTAGTGATTATATATAAATAAGGTATGGGTGATGGGGACGAAGAGCAGCCATTTTGTGCATAGATATTCGATCGGCTATTGGGAAACATACATTAGTGTGAGTGTGGTATGGTTGACTGAAGGATGATCAGTTACAGACAGGTATTCTTTGTTAGTATTATTATTATTATTACTATTATTATCAACATCATCAAAACTATTCATAATTTTAGATCGTCATGTGATTTGTGCTGAATTTTGATTCAATGCCAGTTGTGAGTCCTGTAATCGTAACTCAAGTTTATTAGGCACTAGATACAGAAGTAAGTATTATTTGTAATGTAAAGTAATCATATGTTGGCATTAATATTTTTAGGCTCGTACTAGCATTTTTCTTGTGCTGGTATATTACCATCACAGTACTGCCATATTTTTGTCGGCATCACTGGGCACAGTTGGGAAGAGGTACACAGATACAGGAGGCTCCTCACCATCCCAATATCTATTCAACCCTATAATGTTTCTATTTTTAAAAATTTAGAATAATATTTTTGTATTTACTTCTTCCAGTAGATCGTTGAATGTTACAACTGCTACCAAGTACTAGGATCTGAATGAGGACCATGTTGGGATCTTTTGCTGGAACCACTTATACTTGATGATGGTGGCTGATATATGGTATAGTCAGCAGGGCTGTCTGGTCCCAGTGGTGGCGGTTCTTGGGCTGGTTTTCTGTGTAGTAGTGAGGGCTATTCCCTTGCCAATATCACTTATTACCTGCCAGACAGCATCATTGACCGTGTTTCTTAGGCTGTTGGCAGATTTTTCAGAATATACAATATAATATTTGACAATAATGTAAAATTATTACTTCAAGTCAATTATACCATTTCTCTCCTTGCTATGCTTTCTAGGTGTGCTTGTAGGTTAACTCTCTCACCTTTGCTAATTTTAATGTTTTTATAATGCGTTTTGCTAGTGATTTAGCCATGATAAGAACAGTGCCAGTGGGGGAGCCATTTTGTTATTTTTAAATTTTATTCAATCTGGCCGCCATATTGTGCCCAGGGCACCTCCTTTTATACTGTGATCGACGGAAGCGATTTCATGACGTTGCGTGAATGGTTTTATAGTGCACCTTCTTGTTTAAGTAGACTTAAGTATATTATCCTTTTCCACCCTTCAAGTGGCCATCCACAATTGTTCATACCTATTATCAGTAAAGTTAATTAATCTTATTTTATGCCTTCAATTTGACCTGAAAGTTCCCTTCAGTCCTGGAGCAGTTTTTTATGAGCCCATGTAGCCATTTGCTGGCAATGGGCCACTCACTGCAGTCTTTGGTTCAAGGTTGTACTTGTATTGTTCTTTTTGCTTTTCTATAGCTAGAGCCTGATATAAGATGGAGTCATATTTTTGTTCTTTGATTTATAATTTTGTATAATAGTTGGTAACACTGCTAATACAACACTGTCTCAGTGTACTTAATTTTTTTCCAGTGACAGATGCAATACTTTTAGCAAGTATCCCTTTAACATCATTTTGTTTTAGTTCCACTATCCTTTTTTTTCAATTGCCACTACCGTATTTATATTCCACTTCTTGTGCATGTGTAGTAGCTCTGACATTACATGCACTGGACAACAAAAATTATAAATTTAAGGACAGTTGTGACACCGCATTTCTCTATCACGGAGAATTTGATCTTTCATTGTTAACTGATTCCTATTCATGCTGTGGAAATTGAAATTGAGCTATTCCGATTTTTTGATAGTTTTTCATTATATGTTGCATTATGTATATAAGTCCTGGATTTTTTAAAATTTGGTATCTGTATTCATCTCAAATGGCCAATAGAGATTTGACTACGTTTGCCATTAGTATTTTTGACTTTGGTTGGAAAGACTATTACAGTGCATTGTAGATTGCTTTAATACTTGCACTGTGGTACATGGATAGAATTACCAAAAGCAAGCACATAGTTAATGGATCACCATTTGGAACTAAATTAAATAACATTTTTTGCATAAACCTAATTGAAGTTTAGACTTGAAGGCTTTCATAACACATTAAGGACGCGCTCTGATTTTATTAATTATTAGGAAAGAGGATGGAACAAAATTTATCTCTCGTTTTGATATGATGGAGGTATCTTAATTTTCTGCATGGATTTAAGAAAATGTGATAACATTCTTCAGTAATTTTGGCAATATATCAGTAACCTATATTTAGCAAACTAGCTTGAATAGTTTAAAAAAGGTTCAGCCATTCTGATAAAGAATGGGCAGCTCACTGTCTGCTTGTCATGGGGGTATGACTGTCTTGATTTTGTTTGCGTGAAGTAGCTTGAGCCTGGGGCCTGATATTTATCTAAAGGATACTATCAATATGTAATGTAATGTACAGTGTCCTTTGATTGTCAGCATACAGTTATGTCACTGACCATACTATGACGTCATCAATGTACCACCAGAAAAGTTGCAGATAGAACTGTTTCAGTTGTTATTGATGAGATGATGGCTTCATTTTATTACCCGTAAGAGGTTAATAGGTGACCTGTGAAAGAATGACACGAGACTGGCAATAATTATGCAACTGAACTCTTGGCAGTGGTTATCCAAATCCCACATGCCTTTGGACCTTTTAACCTTTTTGCAATTACAATACACTTAAAAACAGCAGTGACATTATGGTTTTTTTTTCAATATAATAACTTTTTTGTTTTTGAACGTGATTAATCTAATTTAAAAGTAATTTGCAAAAAGTACTGGCATCTCATTGTGATGTTTAATTCTAAGTATCATGAAGTATAGAATAAAAAATATTTGAAGTGCAATAAAC